CGTAAGGGAGCAGTCATTATTAATGCCAGGGGGGGCGGAAGATATTTCTAAACTCATGGTAAATTTTTCATGGCCCCTCATTCCTTCAAAATATTTTTTCATGGCCCCCCCGTTAAATATAATAAATTTTCATAGCCCCCCCCCGTGATTGAACTTGCATTCCTAACATATACTAAGATCACAGGCGGCCCAATCTCGCAAGCGACGTCTTGGGCTAGCTGTGGTGCTTGATTTTCAATGGCTGGGGGGAGCGGGAAATCAAAACAACAAGTCCAAATGGAGGGGAAATTTATCTTTATCTTGTATAAAACCCACATGGACGAATTCAATTGAACTAAATTTTGGCACAAAAATGAGTTTAAAAACATAGTATGACAAAAAGAGCCTGTGGAGAATACCAGGAAACAGTTTTAAGAAATAATCTCGACGAGATGCAGCGAAACGTGACTATGTAAGTCTGTATAAATACAATTTATAAAGATTTTCTTAATAATTTCATATGTTATTTGAGTTTGAATCATTTGTCCATGTAGTTTAAATTATGTGCCTTTATGAGTTTATGATCATTTCCCAAGTTTTTTATGCCAAATTGCTTACAAAAGAATTAAAAACTCTTGACAAAATGAAGTTGAATTTTATTGAATTTCATCATGCTATGCATAAAATAAATAATCACTCGGGCAAGTCGTGCAATTAACACTGGCAATTAATTAACAGCTTGTGCAATTTTGGCGCATTTTTCAAATATTACTCGTAGTGTTAATATAATTAATTGCACTCCTTCCTGTGTGATTACCTATACTTATATTGCATTGACATTTATATTACAGTGAACTATAATGCTGATGTTTTGTGATTATTGTACATTAGTATAATTAATACATAGGTGATTATTGAAAATTCTCAACACTGATTGGTTACCGTTGAGGTGATTATTATGCGATAATCACCTAAGCGATTTTCAAAATGGCGGCCGAAGCCGTTTTGTCAATTGAAAGACGAAGAAATGTGCATTTTAAAATTTTTTTTCAATAATCACCTATGAAATTATCCTGAAACAAAACAATTATTCACCTCAGGCTCGGTGATTATCGTGAATAAAAACATCGACTTCGTCTCGGTTTTTATTCACCGATAATCACCTCGCCTTTGGCGAATAATTGTTAATTATTTTTGGTGGCCCCCCCCTACTTTTCTTTGATATTTTTGGTAGCCCCCCCTAACTGGTTGATAAATTTTTGGTGGCCCCCCCAAATATCTTCCGCCCCCCCCCCCGGCATTAATAATGACTGCTCCCTAAGAGGCGCATATTCTAACAAACGCATTACTGACAGATCGCGCGTGCAACACGTGTGCAAGATATCATCCAAGCATGGGAAGACCCAGGCATTAACATGCCTGAGTTGCATACTGTAGTCTCCAGACAATATCTGGATTGTATAATTATCATGGGAGTTAAAAACGTTTTACTATGCACAACTACATATATGCACACTGCACTCATTTTTTCAGTTCATTCCAAAAAAATGTTTTACTTGTTTCATTATTAGTATATGATCAAATGACCTTTCTTTTCCCGATTTTTGGGATTGATATTTCCAGCAGCCAAGTCTAAGACAAATGGCTTAGATAATAAGCTAAATACTGTTGTTCAGGATAAAGACTTTACCAGAAAGACGGAAGTTCATGAGAATAAATTCATATTTTATGGTACAAGAGAATACTGTCCACAAATGGATTGAAGTTCGTTGTCCATGGTGTCACCATTATTAGTTAATGGGACAGTCTCACATATGCTTGGATCAATGACTGTTTGAAAATGGAAAACCATCCGAGCTTGTTCAAAGCATTTGCTGTAGTCAACTGGAGCAAACTTCAAGGTCTGTAATACATTTAGATATGTTTCGTTCTTGGAAACAGTTTTCTTGGCCTTGTTAATTCCAATGCCTCGAATATTATCAAGGTAGTCACAGCCAGCAGCAATGCACATGTCAGTGAACTTATCTGCATTTAGGTTTAAATGTTTCAAGACTTTTTCCAGCTCCACAAAGTCACCTGTCCCATTTGTTTGTAGCTTAAACAAGTACCTGAAATATCATAATAGATAATTTATTCTTTCTTACATGGAAAATACAAGCTTGAAAAGGTCTATTATTCATGTGCAAAAAATTAAATCTGGTTCTCCCCAGTGATGAATCCATTATCCAGTACTATCAAAACTAACTGTATTGTATATATATTTAGTAAAAAGTTAGTTGAGTCCTAATGCAAATGCTGCATTCTGCATTGTTGATAGATAGCGAGTGGTGAAAAACCATTTCTTCATCACATTTTTTTGCCAGTTTATCACAAGTAAAATAGTAAAAACTTTTTGAAATGTTGTTTTCTCACTTTTTTTTAACAAAAAAAAAGATTATTCACTCGCGATCATAGGCGTACGGGAGGAGCCCCCCCCCAATTTTTTGAGAATCTTGTAATTCAGGCAACAACGGCCTGGATGTTAGACAAATATATTGATCCATAAAGCGGAACAGAAGTATGATTTCAAAAAGTTCAACTTTTACAGGTTCAATCATGCACTGTAAATCTGTAATGGCAACGTTTCACTACGTTTGTGTATATTTATTACTACCATAGATCGCATAGCTGGATTCAAGCATGATGCATCAGGTTAATATTTATTAAAGGTCAAGTGCTCTAACTTAATCGGATTTGGTTTTGATTTTTACGCACATACCACCAACGTAAATCCCCACAGAAACGGCTAGAAGTTAGAACAAAGGAACAATTGCTATGGCTACCAATAAAATGTCACTACTGTATTCATGCCTATATTCAGCAATTTACCTAGCATAATGTAGGCTATACAACTATTAAACTATATAAGTATATAGTATATAGCTGCACATATTGCGAAGGTGTGGTATGAGTGTGCGTAGTAACAATCGGATCAGCAATGTTTATCTCCCTTGATAGCACTGGTTGCTAAATACAGTCTCTGGCCCTGGGCGGCACCACGGCTATGACACACCAGTCACTGAAAATAGATACTATACATTATAATTGACATTGACGTAACCATACAAATACTGTACAATGGCCTAATGTGACTAATTTTAGACTTTTAGATAGACATAAAAATGCGCCGTTTTTTTACAATCATTAAAAAATTGTTGATTTTACGACAATTAACTCCACAATCCCTATAGAAACAATCGCCTAGAAGATTACAATGGCATCTCGTAAAAGACAGTACCGACATCGCGTTCGGTGCAAGGAATGCAATAAGGAAATCGACAGTGACTATAAAGAGGTGCATTCTCGATTGGTTCACAATGGTAAAAAAGTAAAATGTCATCCAGTGATGGAATCATCGGATTCATCCCAGTCGAAAATCAATACTTTCTTTGTAAAAAGTAACATGAAAACCAAGGATGATGACCTGCAGGCTGCAGTATGACCTAACCCTACTTGGAACTGAATCGAGTTGTAGTAAAAATTCTGCAGTCATGGTGTCTTTTGATGAAGATCTATCTGAGAAAAATGTGAAGGAACCCATGAGCGAAGACCAAACAGAACCAATGACAACGTTCATTGATGTTGATGAATTAAATTCACTGCCACAGCTCAGAGAAAATAGTAAACAGAATACGGTGACGGACAGTGAAAATGTTACACCATCTTTAGGTCGAAACGCGGACAGGGTTGCCTTCCTCCTTATCCTCGCCTTTTATTGTGTCCCATAACATTTCCACCTATTTTAGTTTCTATATAATCGTAATTTCCCTTGGTTTTACATACATGTTCATCACAGGAGTCGGAGTTAAGAAATTAAGGACAACAATTTTTGGAATACTGGTCCTCTCATTATTTAGGCTACACAATGTCTTGCACCAGTACTTGTCCAATTACCCATTTTATACCAAAAAATGTTGTTACGTTAGTAACTTTCTCTTTCTTTGTGAATCGTAATGCCATATATTTAGCTTATAATTGAAATGGCTATGGACGACATATTTCTTTTTATATCAATCTTCAAAGACTTCAAACGAAAGCCTTTCATTTGTAGTCTTCTTAGATTGTATAATTTTATGATGACGTCACAAAATCTATGACGTCATGCCATTCGGGCAAATTCAGCCCAGCCCCCCAAAAATAATGTGCCCGTACGCCTATGCTCTCGATTTCTATACTGTGATAGTACTGTAACTATCACCTGATATAGAAATCTAATCTGCCATAATATAAAAGATGGCGGCTGTCGATTTACCCACAGTGCATTGTAGTTGGAAATGTTAAAACAACAGTCAAATGTTTTTTTAAATAACACACAAAATGTCAGTTATACTTATCGGTTTAAGTTTCATGTCATTGTCTGTTTTTCTTGTCACTCTTTTGCGGATTTATGCTTGCTGCCTGCAAAGGATTGTAGGTAGATCAACATGCCATCTCTTTTTATTATAGCAAATTGTTAAAAATACACATATACCTTTTCGCACTGATATGCAAGCAAATCTGAGTCTTCAGACACAGCAAAATCAGCATATCCTTTATTTACAAGGAAGGTAATCTGGGCATCTGCTTCATATGGTGCCATTATATAGGGAATGTCTCTTTCACAACAAATCTAAATGTCAAAAAGGACTATGTATATCTGTCAAAACAAATCCTATAACCAAATTAGCTGGCATTGACAGTTGCAGTTACACAACCATCTGCCAGTATCATATCTCCCATTTTAATGCATGTTTCATTGTCTTTCCCCCTCCCTGCTAACCACAGGTAAATGGTAATAGTGGGGTATTTGCAAAAACTTATTTAAAATGCCACACTATATCCCATCCCACAAGCTATATTATTTTGCAAAGTCACCCCCATACCTGGTTGTCTGCATGGTCACCCCCCCCCCCCAGCCTGGGCTCCCAGGGTGGGGAAAGCTCGTGACACACACATTTGTAACACCAGACGATTTTTGCTCATGCAGCATATATTCTTGACTTGCCAACATAAACAATGGTCCAATCCCTTAAAGACAATTAATTTGGGGACCAACATGGTCACCATTCTAGACAAGATAATGGCCGGTTGTAAGTTGAGAAGTATAAAGTATGTAAAAGTCCTTTTACATTGTTAAAAGTATGCATATGTTACGTTTAAACTTACATTTATCAACTTTCTTACTAATTCATTACTAATTTCGGCAGCTCTTTGCCAAGGCTTTCTTTGCAGCAATTTCATCGCCTAGTATTGTGAAATAGGTGGCATTTTCACGACCTTTCGCTCCTCTGTCTATGGAAACAATACGTCCAAAATATTTAGGCACATTTTATCCAAGAAGTGAAGAGCTCGTAACAGTCATATTTCAGGTACAAGTATAATTTAAGCAGTACAGGTGTGGACATTTTCTCTACATGTAGCTACCCAACATTTTAACTTAGACAAAAATACATTATAGCCAAAGCACAGTTTATTCCAATTAACAAAACCCAAAATACTGAAACCTGAAAATAGTAAAATTACAAATAAATATATACAATGTTTTAAATGTTACAACCTAGCTGGATGATATCCAATATACACACCATTTGGCGATGGGTACCTTGACCGTATTGCCAAGACACAACAACTTGGAACAACTCCCTTTGCCCAATCGGCCATGCTGCCATAAGACATACTGCCTATATGCAGTATGCCTGAAGTTATCATTGTTTCGCGGCTGGTCCATGACCAATACATCTTCTCTGTACAACATTGCCAAGTTAAGTACGTTCCCATCCAATACAAGTTGTTGAAATAGAGGAGTTGTTGTGATGCATGGCATCTTCCTGCTGGAACAGCATTTGTTCTGTTGTGTTGGCATATTTTGGCACAAGCCACACTCACACCAGTCGGGTATGTTATTTTGTGGTGGTTCATCTTCTGGTGGTGCATCAGGTAGCTCATCTTGTTGCAATTGTTCTTGGTTATGAATGTGCTCTACCATTTCCCCATTAACTAGGTCTGCAAAGACTGCAGGTTGTCTCCTGAGTAGCTCAAGGTTTTGGACCAAATCATACAAGTGAGATTATATTATAGTAACTGTCCTATATGAATTACACATAATTGGTATAATTTCTCCCCAAGCAAAAGCTACTACAAAGACTTACAGGAAATATTAATCTGCCAGGGGCTGAATGCATGGGTAATTTCCAGCCCGGACTGGAATTTCAGCCTGGTTGGCCAAGAGCAGTGATGAAGCTGCCCATAACAACTGGAGATAGTGGTATGCTAATTTCTCAATATCTGAATAATTTGAAAACAATATATTTATAAAAGTTCAATGAAGTAAACAATTTAAAACATGCAACCATTACCAGTTGCAACCATTACTGCTGCTATTTATCATACGTTAGCAGTTGGGCTGAAATCATAAGTGTACTTGTCTATCATGCTTTGCAAGGGCCAGTGCAAACAAAACCACATGGAAGTCAACATTGTCTGTCCAACAACAAACATCAAACAACAAATATAAAATAAGCTTTGTTTCCATTTCCTGGTGTTTTTAATACACATTACACTATAGAATTGGTGTATGTTTTGTAGAACACATTGTCTGGTAGCAAAATATATTACATGAAAGGCAAGGATATATAAGCTGGCTTGTACAACCAAAATTCAAGTTAATAAACACCTATAAAGTACCTGTAGTTGTTGATCATGTGCACCCATTCTCTTGTCTGAATTATCTTCCACAACCAAATCTCAAACTCTTCCTCTGCCACGACTTCCACGTCTTCCACCCTCTCTTCTGCCAGTACCTCTAGATCGTCCTCTGCCTTTTTATCCACAAGGTCTTCTGTGCATTCCCCTTCCTCTAGATCTCCTGCAGGAGGTTTCTTTGACAGTTTCTGTGGCTATTGGAGAGCTTAGGTTTTCGTCGTCATCAAATATCCTTCAAGGAATTGGCTTTATAATCACAAATGTTATATATTAAAACTTACTGTATATTGATCTTCAGAATCCGAATCACTTGAGTCACTTTCCAAAGTCTTTTGATTGTTGAGACATATTGAATTATCGCCATGACATGCTGACAAACAATACTGGTCAATACCTTTGCACGGGCACGCATTGTGGCCACTAGATCTTAAACAAATTCCTCTGCAAGAACAAATAATAGCATTATCTACATTCGGTATTACTGCCGCTTGTTCGATTTCGTATAACGAGTTGGAAAAGCTGTCATCCATGCTCGTGGGAGGAAATGAGGGCGCTGTGTTTAGCACTTATCACATTACACACAAAGACTATGTCGTAATTGTAGAGTATATTTAATATTGCTGAAAACACTGTATATCAATCAGCAGAGATCAATCAGTAACTGTGCTGAAAAAACTAAATGAGTTAACATTGTGTGAGAAGTACGTCATGTGAAGGCGCTGTCACACTATTGCGTATCGTACTAGCGTATGAAAAATATCACTCATACGCCGGTGTACGCTGACATACACTAGGGGTACGTTAGGCATAGGTTGTATACGTTTCAAGCACGGTCGCGTACGGTGGCATACGCTAGCATACGGTGAGGTAGAAATTTTTTTTAAGCATGCTCAAAATTTTGTGCGTATCGGATGTATGCTTTATATGATAAGCATACTCTAGGCACACGCTGAATACGCTAGAGGTACACCAGATGTACGGTACTCATACGCTGGCATTTCAAAGGATTTTTGTGTGTATGATTTTCATACGCTTCTCATACATTTCTCTCATACGCAATAGTGTGACAGGGCCTTAAGATATACTAAAAACGTAAACAAATCGTTTCATGTAAACAATGTGCAGAACAGACTTGACCGCCTTCTTTAAAGAATCGGCAGTTTTTTAATCTGATCAAATTCTGATTTTCTCAGTTAATTTTGATTCAGAATTTCAGGGTTTTTTCCAATCTCTGTGATAATGCATCAGTCAAATCCAGCGTGCCCATCCCCCCCTGGCTACCCTGGGGCATTTTCCCATAAAGCACGTCCCGGTGGTTGGGCATTTGAACTCAAACCTTTGCCCAGGGGCGGGGCATTTGAAATTAAGAATTTGGATTACTTTATACGTGCAAATATAACAAATATAGTATGTTTACGGACCAGATGCTTCATGTTTTAATATTAAAACAAAATTTTAACACATTAAAATATCATGAATATACAAAATATGTATGTAAATGAGCCAACTCAGCCAACCGTTCGCATAATTTTATTTATTAATAAAAGACAAATACTTAATTTCAAACACTTCCACTAAAGTCTCTAGGCCTTTGCTCTTCAGCCAACTTGCAACAAACTCCATGTTTTCCCCTCCAAACTCTTCCATGATGTATAAAACCAGTCAAGTTGTCAAATATAAAACGCTAAAATTCGAACCACGCCAAACTTTAAAAATAAATGCGCTAGAGCATGACGAAAACGCGCTAGGTAGCCTGCAATGCAGGCGAAATACTTGGGCGATATACTTGGCCGATCGAAGAAAGTATTCTCTTTTATATTTTCAGGTAATTGGATAATTTGCTCTTCTTAGCGAAACAGTCCAGCTGTCCCCGGGGTGGGGAATTTGCTACTGATTTTTTGCCCCACTGCCTGGCATTTTCACGTGTTTTTTATTCCTGCCCCCGGGAATTTGTTGCATATTTTCAAAAATTGTCAAAAGCCCGGGGGTTTGCCTGGGGGGGGATGGGCACGCTTGGATTTGACTGATACATAACTGCTATTCAATATCTTTTTAATACAGCAGCATATATGTTTTCTCACTAATGCAAGAGGACTCACCCTTTTGACTGCAATGATTGGGACAATTGTGCAAATAAAGCTCTTTACATTGCTTCTTGTCAACATACTCTATAACATTTTTTCTGTGTTGGTGTTTTGTACTCAGGTGAATATGATATTTGTGATGTTACTCTGAGTGTATATCCACACCGGGCGAGCTTGAAAAATATGCCCGGCCATGGTGGGATTCGAACCTACGACCTTTGGAATACTAGCCCAATGCTCTTCCAACTGAGCTATGCGGTCAGGACGGTTCGAGTAAGTGATATTTCGGAACAGAATCTAGTTCCTTCGATACCAATCCAATCAATCAGAATCTAGTTCCTTCGATATCAATCCAATCTTCCTTCGATACCAATCTTCGATTCCAAAGGTCGTAGGTTCGAATCCCACCGTGGCCGGGCATATTTTTCAAGCTCGCCCAGTGTGGATATACACTCAGAGTAACATCACAAATATCTATAACATTGTTATGGTGCCAGAAGAACTTGGCGATACTTTAGCTGATAATCCACCTGGGAAAACACCTACAAGATAAAATAGTTAAATTGCCAAATAACCAAAAAATATACTAAATATTTCAAATACATTACACCCATAGATGGGAACTTGTATCTTATGTTCAACATATCTTTGGTATCTGCAATGACCGTTAAATGTCAGCAAATTTAGACCAAATATATTGGAATTTTGGTTAATAAAGTGCCTGTCCACTTTTAAAAATGCCCATTCAAAAGATGCGAGGCATCTAATAAGCCTGGATGCCAATAGTGTGCACAAGTTTCCCTCAATAAGTAAAATCATCTGGCATTAGACAGAATAAAAAAAAACATGAAGGCAAATTAACAGGGCGCATACGCAGATAGTCGGATTAACCCATTGAGTGGCAGCACTTTCCCCTGACGTGTAAATCATCTGGCATTAGACAGAGTTAAATAATAAAATAGGGCGATTGCCACTTAAAGGGTTAATAAATTTATTTGGTCAGATGGGTTTCTATTCTAGGATTTAACATTGCAGTTGAAATCCAATTATTGCTATTATCTAAATAGTTAAAAATAGATATTACCATAATACTAACGTTGCAATCTGCATCTTCACCTGTTTCTTTCAAATTTAAAGACTCTACAGCAACCAAATAGGCAAATATTAGACATACTGTATATTGGTATTAAGCAACATAAACAACCATCATAAAGGCTAGTTCACACAATTCCATTTTGTCAGATCCAATTTTGCTTTTGTAATGTATGTAATGTAGTCCACTTGCTGACAAAAGACTTGCTTGAAAATTGTTTGTGTCACTATTACAATCAGATTGTGTGATCCAGCCTTTAGACAGACATTACATAATTAAGTTGGTATAGATGTATGCTCTAGCCTCAACTTGCAAATTATTTGTGTCACTATTGTCCAAGTCATTGTAATTTTATAGATATACAGTCAAAATACAAAAAGTGTCCCACTGTATTCTGTTGTGTTTTACTGTAATTTGTTCTGTTTTTCTGTAGTGGTTATAGTTTTATCAGCAAAAATGTATTGTTTCAGTATAAAATGATTTTTAGCATAAAGGATACATGTTTTGTTGATTCATTGCATAAAAGGTGCGAAATTTACAATTTTATCACGGTATTTGCTGATAAATTAGAGTTTATTATTTAGTAACCAATGCACATGTATTAAATTTGAAAATGGCAAAAATATACTGTAATGTGCTAATTATTTATACCTTTTACTAGTAAGTGCAAAGCATATCGGCTGATTGGCTCTTGGTATATTTCGTTATAAGCCTCTGACAATCCACTGAAGGAGTCCCAACAGTGATGGCTAGAAAATGTTATAATATAAAGGTTTAAATAATTTGAAGGAAAACAAAGTGTTAAATAATTTCAAGCAAAACAATGAATAGTCAATTTACCTTAGAGAAGGAATCCAATGGTAGAAAGCCAAGTCAAAGTAAGTCACGTTGCTGACCTCCACAAATGTATTATCATCAATGTCTGCTGGATAAAGATGAGTGCCACATTTGTCGCTGAAATTACACAGCCCAAAATGGATAGTGCAATTCCTACACTGAAGCGTGACTTTGGAACAAAGTAATTGGGCCCATCCAACGTGAACAATGTTGCGGTTGACAGGTTATTATGCATGGACAGTATTTTGTCGCACTTGGTGCATGTTCCAACTTCTGGTGAAATAAACTTGTTGCTTGTTTCCATATCTATGTTGGATTCATCCACATGAAGAAAGTTAGGGCACCACTGTTCCATAATCTCCATATAGCGAGAAAGCTCATTAACACCACAATTTGTCGATGTGCAAAGCATGTTGAAAGCATCCCATATTAACAATGCTCGTAAGGATTTTCCTGTTCTGTTTACTATGTTTGATGGAACATGTTGTATCGCTTTTCTAAGGTTACAGACACCTTGAAAAGTCAAAAGTGTTTCATCCTCAGTGAAGCTCAGACCTTTCACCAAATATAAGTCATGGACATTAAACTTTTGCAATGCGCAGAGCTGTTTTTTAACACGGTTGAAGCAAACGTTTTCCTCCTCGATTTTCTCTTTTACTCTGTCTAGTTCAAACAGACCACTACGTCTCTTTTTCCTCGGCATACAAATATATTGAACCAAAAATAAAACTATAAATCTTGAATAAAACCCGGAATATTTTCAGTGTTTTCAACGCAATAAATGTAACAATGTGGCATGGCGAATATTAATGTGTGATCGAAAAACTATCATAGCACGATAGCACGCATGCTTTAGCAATAATGTGAAAACTGGCTGCCTATTTTAGGCAGCTTATGAACATAAAACAGTCATTGCTTGCGCATGCTCAGACAAATTTTCCCACTTGTTGTCTGGCAGTATATGGTGTAAATTTGTCTGGCGTTAGTCAGAGTTATACTGAAAGTAGTGCGTATTGCCAGCTAATAGGTTAGTAGACCTTAATATCCACTTTTGACCCAATGGCCTCATTTTCATGTTGGTTATTTACTTGTATTACGTGCACACAATTTAAGAATAAGCTTGTGATTGGGCTTAAATGATGAACAAGAAACAAATCTGAGCAGGAAACATAGGGGATATAACCTTCATGTGCAGGCCTGCCATGCTACCAATGACGAATTATGGAAATGAGCTCATTGGGTCAAAGGTAACCATTTAGAGAATTATCTAGAAATACAAACTTTTGCATTCAGTTCGTGTGGCAAAAAGGCAACACTTTCCTTGCGATAGTAACTCCTTGTTATAGATTTGCACCATAGAGGTATCCCAAAAAGGTGTTTAACTTTTTAAAAATATCCATACAATTTGTTTGTGGTTTACGACTTGTATTCTTGTCTGCTGCACCATAGCGCATATGTCGTCATTTTCAGGTCAGTATGAATGCCTGAGCAGGCATCACAATTTAGTTTGGGTCAATGTGCCAAAATAGTTACCATTAACCCATTGAGTCGCATTGCACCCTGATGCACCCTACTTTAGTATTTTACTCTGTCTAACGCCAGACGATTTTACTCGTCAAGTGGAGAGCGCTGGCGCTTAATGGGTTAACTAGCCTATCTGCTCATGTGTCTAGTTAACCCATTGAGTCGCATTGCACCCTGATGCACCCTACTTTAGTATTTTACTCTGTCTAACGCCAGACGATTTTACTCGTCAAGTGGAGAGCGCTGGCGCTTAATGGGTTAACTAGCCTATCTGCCCATGTGTCTAGTTAACCCATTGGGTCGCATTGCACCCTGATGCACCCTACTTTAGTATTTTACTCTGTCTAACGCCAGACGATTTTACTCGTCAAGGGGAGGGTGCTGGCGCTTAATGGGTTAACTGATCTATCTGCCCATGTGTCTAGTTAACCCATTGGGTCGCATTGCACCCTGATGCACCCTACTTTGAACAGTATTTTACTCTGTCTAACGCCAGACGATTTTACTCGTCAAGGGGAGAGTGCTGGCGCTTAATGGGTTAACTGATCTATCTGCCCATGTGTCTAGTTAACCCATTGGGTCGCATTGCACCCTGATGCACCCTACTTTAGTATTTTACTCTGTCTAACGCCAGACGATTTTACTCGTCAAGTGGAGAGCGCTGGCGCTTAATGGGTTAACTAGCCTATCTGCCCATGTGTCTAGTTAACCCATTGGGTCGCATTGCACCCTGATGCACCCTACTTTAGTATTTTACTCTGTCTAACGCCAGACGATTTTACTCTGTCTAACGCCAGACGATTTTACTCTGTCTAACGCCAGAGTATTTTACTCTGTCTAACGCCAGACGATTTTACTCGTCAAGTGGAGAGTGCTGGCGCTTAACGGGTTAACTGGCCTATCTGCCCATGTGTCTAGTTAAGTTAACCCATTGAGTCGCATTGCACCCTGATGCACCCTACTTTAGTATTTTACTCTAACGCCAGACGATTTTACTCTGTCTAACGCCAGACGATTTTACTCTGTTTAACGCCAGACGATTTTACTCGTCAAGTGGAGAGTGCTGGCGCTTAATGGGTTAACATAACGTTATGATGCTTGTGATGTTACTGTGAGTGTACATCCACATCAGGCAAGCTTGAAAAAATGTGCCTGGCCACCATGGGAATCGAACCTACATCATTTGGAATACTAGCCCAATGCTCTACCAACTGATTATTATACTATAGATCACATTGATATAGAAGGAACTAGATTCGGTTCCGAAATATAACGTACTCAAACTGACCTGACCGCATAGCTCAGTTGGCAAAGCATTGATTGGGCTAGTATTGCAAAGGGCGTAGGTTCAATTCCTACCATGGCCAGGCATATTTTTCAAGCTTGCCCAGTGCAATATTCTGGTTCTGGAACATTGCATGCATGGGATCTTGTGCATCTCAGGGAAACTGTGCCATCCTTGTTCTTCTGATCTTGTGCATTACTTTTGCTATTTGTTCCAAGATTGGTGGATCAGAGAGCAAACAGTTCTCTTTTGTTTGTCTTTTCTTTTTTCTTGTATACAAAAATTGTGATCCCTTAAATTATTAGCCAAAAATTTTGCCAGAGATGTTAGTGCACTGGCTAAAAGCACAAAAAAGGGGCTATTGTATGTATGCACATGAAGGAAAAACCTGAAACACCCTTGGGCAAATAGAGTCTTCTAGAACATATTACTCCAATTAACTGCAATTTATAGCTTTGCTTAAATTGATTATTTAATGAAGTACAATAGAATGTCAGCCCTATGTGTATTAAATAAAACAAATTCCAAAAATAGACATCTTGTGTTCCTGATATTCAAAATAAAAACATGAGTGTAAAGACAGAGTCGGTAATATATCGTCTGTATTCCAAAGACATCGTCAGACAGACCTATGAAATTACAAACAAGCTGTGATCTATATATGATCTATTACCGACTCTATCTTTACACTCTTGTTTTTATCTTGAATATCAAGAACACAAGATGTCTATTTTCGGAAGTTGTCTGCTTGTCGTGGTTATTGGTCTAATCTCCGAAAAAGCGACCCCCAACCTTCACAAGCAAGCTGTTAGCCTACCAACGCTGTATTCAATGCAAGCAACAGGCCGAACTTGACTTAGCTTTCTTGTTGCAATGCAAGAAGTTAAATGTCTATCCCAAGTTTATCAAATGGAAGAACATTGATAACCTGCCTATGAAGTTCCGAAACAAATACCACCGACTACTCTTGAATGATTTGATTAAGAATACGAACACACACATCAATAATGTCACCAAACAATCTGACGGTGTACATGTTGCTCTCTTTAACTCAACCACTTGGATGAAAGCTCATTTTATCTCCTCCATCAACCGACTTTTGAAGTCTGAGATGTCAGAAGTCAAGGCAAGGCACAATAAGAATATGGACAACCTACTGGCACTGAAGAATGCTATTGATGGTCTGCAAGAAAACCCTAACAATGTTATTCTTAACCTTACTGGCCACAATCTCTCTGATGAACAGATTGACATTTTGAAACTTGGTCTCTGTCATGGTTTTGCTACTTGTCCTAATGAACTTGAGATGCTCTCAGTTGCTGAAAATATCTGGGATCAGATTGCTAGACTCGATCAATGCAAATCCATATCGATAGTAAACATATCCGCATACTTAAGAAACTCAATACTCATTTTGCCATTCTCAAACCTGACAAAGGCAATGGAATTGTCTTGTTAAACCGCTCTGATTATGTACACTCTCTTAACTCCTTGTTTGACAATCCTCAGAAATTTAAACGTATTTCTAACGACCTTACTTCTACCAGACTCTCTACCTTACAATCTACTTATGCACACTACTCAACCGTAGTGAGATCAACGAAACTGAACATACTCTTTTAAGACCGTCTCACACACACTTTGCCAGAGCACATGGACTACCCTAAGACGCACAAACAATTCGACACACTACCTAAGTTTCAACCGATTATTGACACTACTAACATGCCACACTACAACGTAGGAAAATTTATTGCCGGCCTTTTAAATCATATTACTTTAAATCAATTTTCATTGTGAGACTCTTTCGATGCTGTCGAAGGGATTAAATCTATACCAAAAGATCTATTTTCCCAAGGTTATAAATTTGTCTCATTCAATGTCGAGTCTCTTTTTACTAACATGCCTTTGTGTAGAACAATTAACATAATCTTAGATCGTGTTTACAAACAAAGTCTAATTGATACTACACTCCGGAAGTCAACTCTCAAAAAACTTATTCTCGATTCATGCACTAAAACTATATTTTCATGCAATGGAACTCTGTACGAACAACTCGATGGCGTTTCTATGGGGTCTTTGCTCGGACCCATTCTAGCAAACATAATTCTCACCAAATTTGAAAATATCATTGTTTCAGATCTAATTAATACAGGTGTCATAAAATTTTACCGTTGTTATGTTGATGACTCTGGTTCTCATTCGGCCTTCTGATATTCCTCATGTTCTCGCAAAATTTAACAGTTCTGATAAAAATATTAAAACAACTCGCACAGGTCAATACACACATTTTTCAAGTTTTGAACCATTCAACCGCAAAACCACTCGGTTAATTCTTTATTCTATCATGCATTTAAGATCTGTTCCAACCAAACATTATTTGACAACCAAATTCGTATGTTAAAGTCTTTCATGTCATGGAACGGTTTAGCTCTTAAAATCCGGACCTTTTTGATACAGAAGCTCAAGAACAAGGTTACATCTAACACAGGGGCGGATCTAGGGGTGATCAGAGTGATCATGCGACTAAGGTAAAAATTGGCCAGAAAATAGAAAATTGTTAAATTAAAATAGCAGTCCAGTTATCAAACTTCGTGCAGTGTAATGTATTGAAAGTTTAACAGTCCAGTTTTGAAATATCAGTAGCAAGGCCTTCGAACATGAACGTGCAGAAAAGTGGTCTTACCCATGAGTTTTGCACGCTCTGAGTCAGATTTCAGCCATCTGATTGGCTATCTCGATTTTTGCGCGATCTGTGGGGAGTTCTGATCGCTAAAGCGATCAGGGGCTTGAATACAGGCTATCCGATTGGCTAATTCAAAACAATCCTGAATTCCCATTGGCTGGATTTTTTTGATCGATCATACCGTTCAGGCTTCATTAGTGCACGGAAA